CCCCACCCTCCCTTCCGGTAAGAAACGTTGATGCCACATGCAGTCCATTGCTCTAGCTTTGTACATGACTACGTGATTTCAGTTCAGTCCTGTCCGTAGTCGCCCGAGTTCCGATCGAATCTGTTTTCCTCAGCTTCGAACATTCCCTATCCTCAGGGCTTTCTATGAAACAACAAACGGTTTAGTTACGTTCGGGGAAGAATCGAGTCCCTCTAAGAAAGCACTGGCTTGAACGGGAATCTTTTAGAACGATGAGAAGACGTTCTCTTACACAGTAACTGGTTTCTTTCTAATAAGCACCCTCATATGCCTTAAAAGGTCGTTTTCATTTCCAGCATCCTTCGACCTCTTAATGAACTGGCTCTGATTCACATAACCGGATTGGTTGAAGTGAAATGAGGCTAATTCATGTTTTCAGATGGACGAGGCTCGAGATCGGGTCTTCTGTTTGGTCACTTACACGGCTACGGCCTTCACCTTAATTTCGATCCTGGCCATGTCATTGACCATTCCAATGGCTAACAACTACGTATCCTTTATGAAGACCACAATTGAACGGGACCTGGATGACTGCCAGGTACGTCGTTTCCCTGGCAGAGTCAAAAATCTTGTTTAGACAACCCTACAAAGCCAGAAATTTCAGAGGTCAATGGAAGAAATCCGCCAACTAACTCCTGCTGCTCACAAGGAAGGACCGTTCCCTCATTTGGTGGATTCCGAAACAGGAAAACATCATAATCTCACCATCGGAAGAAGGGACAAAAGGCAGGCAGCCGTGTGCCCCGGTTTGTGTAGAGTTCGATCATATGATAGGAAGCTTGTTCTAGAATGATGAACTTCATGTCACCCACTGCCCTTGGGCTTGTCAACGACTTATATGGGACTTATAACACTTTCAGGATGCTGCCTTCCCGGTGAACCTGGAGTTCCAGGTAAACAAGGCAGAATGGGAAGACCTGGTCGGCCAGGAGCGGATGGTGCTCAAGGATTCCCTGGTCGTCCACCTAGGGTTTGTTCCATAGTCATATCAAGCAGAAGATTTTCAAAAGCTTACTGTTGTTTGTTTTTGTTTATGAAAATGTTTGTTTTGCTATAGACTGCTTTTCTAGCTTCAACTCAATACAATTTAAGGTTTGCGAACAGCTGGCTCCAACTCCATGCACTCCCTGTCCTCCCGGTCCTCCCGGCCCGCCGGGAATCCCAGGAGAACCAGGTTTGTCATCAATCAATTCCATAAACGCGTTCCTTCTAACACGCTCTTTCAGTCTGATTAATAATGTAATAGAAACTTGCCTTCACGACATGCCTAAGTGCCCGAATGAGCTGGCAACAGCCAGTTCGAGTGTTGTGTATGTATGTGTATGTGTGTCTGAGATGTAGCTCGAGGAGAAACTAGAACTAGTATGCGCATCGTGGGCGATGTCAATAGTTTCCCAGTCGCACGTTTTAGCCGCTAAGACATCTATGCTGTGCATAGGCGAGGCGTTTCTTGGAATGCAGTCGTGGTGGTCGCCTCTCTGCCTTTTTGGTATAACGACTTGGTGGCGGCATCCGATGCAATCTATGGGGATCAATCAAGCGTGCCTTCACCTAAACATACATTAAACACTGTCTTCCTACACAAACATACATCAAACAAGGCCTTCCAGCAGGAAACTTATGTTCCGAAGTTTCTTGGATAACAACAGTTCCGAGTTGGCCCCTTCATCAGCTTCGGAATACTCCCAATCCCTGAACTTAAATTGACTGGGTCCTATTCATATAGAATTGGGGACAGCTCCTTGACTTACTATATGCCCATTTTTTCTGAAAAATATTATAGAAGACATGCTATGGACGGCTTAGTTGGGAGATGCGTCCCTCATTGGGTTAGCGCATCATCACGATTTTGGCCCCACTTCTGGCCCTACTTTGTTGAACCTCTGAAATCTCACAGTCAATGATAGAACAGTTTAGACATCCATTTCAAGGTTTGAGCTCGTCAAAACCTCGAAATCGTCGGAGTAACCGCTTTTCCATGACGATAAAGTTAGCCATTCCCCGAGAAACTCGTCCATTCCCTTTGGAGCTGCATAAGCTGTCAGATCCCGCAGTACTTCGTTGATTTCTCGATGAACCCCCTTAGGCATGGTACGTAGAGGGTACGTATGACTCGAGCGTAGAAATGGTTGCGATAAATGAAGATCGCAGTGCAGCGAACCGGTTGTGGACGTCGCGGTCGCGTAGCCGGAACGCACCAAATGCCTCCGGAGAGGAAAAACCTGACCGCTTACGTCATCACTCACTGATTACTTTTGTTCGAAGAGGTTTGTAGTAATGCATTTACTTTTTAAGGAATTAATGGCGAAAGTGGACCACCAGGACAACCAGGTGCAGCAGGATTACCCGGGCCCAAGGGTCCCGATGGAGTTCCTGGAGAAGCAGGACCTAATGGTGAAGGAGGAGCTCCTGGACAGCCTGGAATACCTGCACAAAATGTTCCCGCGTTCCCAGGTCCTCCAGGACCAAAAGGACCTCCGGTAAGAACTGTCTGGACTGTCTTCGGATGTATTCCTATGTGTTCAAATTATGGATTTTTAGGGAGCCCCAGGAGAACCAGGAACACCCGGCTCACCAGGACCACCAGGTCAGCCCGGACAGCCAGGAATGCGTGGACCACCAGGAGCCGATGGTCAGAAAGGACCGGATGGCCAACCCGGTCAGCCTGGTCCACCAGGACCTGGGGGAACCGATGGTGAGAGAGGTAAGCTAATGGTGCTTCTGAGGTTGACCATAAATGATCAGTCGTTTAGGTGTCTGCCCTACTTACTGCGCTCGAGATGGAGGAGTTTTCTTCGAAGACGGGTCCAGAAGAGTCTGAGTGTGGCATTGGATCTTCTCGAACATTGCTTAATAAACATTTTGCACTCATCCGAACTGTTATTTTTGGAGCACATTCTCTTCAATAAACCCACAACAAAAGAATAAACAACAAAAGGTTGAGGGGAAAGATTGGCATCAGTAGGATTTCTGGAGATGCTCTGCTCTCCGCAGTGTTCTATACAGATTCGCAGAGTCTCTTAAATGCGAATTTAGCCAGTCCAATGTCAGAAACTAGCCAGACAGCGTCCGAACAATGTTTCACGGCTGGGATCATTTCCCACTCAGATGCAACGAAGTGGAATTTAATGCTTTCTCGATCAGAATTATTAATGAAATTGTAGTAAATCGCGTTTTGCTACGATCGCTGACAGCTTCTCAAATTCTTTTTCTTCTTCTTTGGAGCCCAATAGATCCGCCACGCCTTTCAGTCATCGGACGCTATCGCTGTCCATCGCTGGACTGGCCGTGTCCAGTGTGTGTTCACATTCCAAGCTACAAAAAGTCAAATCAGTTGTAGTCCAGCGTCTGATAAACTCGAGACTGCCACCTACTTCGAGAAAAGACTTCGAAATGATGGAAAACCTGTTTGTAGCGATCTGGATTGAACTTCCATATATGATAAACGTGACTTTTTGCCATAAACGCCATCCTAGTCACGAAAATTTAATGGGTTTCTCTGTAGCGAGGCTCCAGGTTGGCTTGACATAAAAACCCTTCCAGCCTTGATGCTAATGAGCCAATCTTCTTTTCCAGGAAATAAGAATTGGTATTTACATAGATGCACCAATTCTAGTCGAAATTCGTGTTTATGAGGAAAATCCCGTAGACTTGCCCTGAAAACGAGGAAGACGAACCAGACCTTGGCTGTGTTTAATCCTTTTGGACTAGATAATCTCCTTCCAGGCGAGTTCATTGACAATTTTCGGTCCATGATTGAATATTCGGATTACAAACATTCAAGCTGGAGAAAGCTGGAGTGAGGGTGAGAGAGCTGTAACCTTCTGCATTTACCACCTGCTTCACCCTTAATACATTCCTCCTCGATAAGCTGGTCCATATTCGTCAGGTAACTGAAAGGCGAGCGAAAGAACCCCGGACCGTTCCTGGAGGATACCCTTGGGATCGATTCACCTTGTTAGCCCCCACATAGTGTTTTACGAGATTTGAAAAAGCAAATGAAACACCGAATTCCATCACACCGTTCAACCACTAACCGTTTTCATGGGGAAGAGGCGTGGCTGACGCCCGAAGCAACACACCGCATCATTCATTTTTTAAGATCGGCTTCCAACTAGGGGCTGTTTCCAGTCATGGTGTCGTCCCACCCCCTTCCCCCCAAACCTGGCATTCTAATTGGTTTGACACGCCCACCAGAGGCCAACAGAAAGAAATATCTACTATGGATATAAAAGGCTTAAGGTGGTGAATACTTGAGCCGCTACATTCGACGGCGTCGGTCATGCGTTTAATGCTTGAAGTGGTGAACTCCAACCAAGGAAGGGAGGTCTTGACTGGCTGACTGTATCCCCCCAACGACGACTTCCTATGCAGTACATTGCTAGATGTTTTTGACTGCCATTTAATGTGCTTGTGCTGTTTCTCTCCCCACTCGCGGAAGTGGATTCGAAGTGGTCGGACATTCAGACACAGTTGATCGACTCTCCTCCTCGGATCCAGTTCCTCCGCCTCTCCTTCCTCTCCAAGAACCCATCATAAAGCCTTCGCGACTGGCTGCCTCAATCTCTTTCTCTTCACCCCATTTCTCAGTGTCCTCCTCCTCATTGCACTTTTCTTCAATTGCACCTTGTTCGTGTGAAATTCGTTTGATTCGTAGGATGGACTTGGATCGGCGAGAGCGGGCCTACCGCTTCGTCGCCTTCTCAGCCGTCTCTTTTTCATTGGTGGCCATAGTAGCAGTTTTTATCACGCTCCCAATAGTGAATAACTATATCAATTCTGTTCATGCACGTGTTCAAAGCGAAATGGAGCTTTGTAAGGTAAGGTCTTGCTTGATTCCCACATTATTTTCAAATCGGGAGCATCTTGAATCCAGTTATCCGCCCGAGACGTCATGATGGAGGTGGCTGAATATCGCTCATTGCCCAGGTCCTTGCTACCCGGGCTCGCTCATCCCAAAAATAGTACTCGCCAGAAGAGGCAGGCCGATGGAGGTCATTGCCAGGGTAAGCTTTTCTATCTCATTTCTCTCTTTCATTTCATTTTTCACGGATCCGCTCAAATGCAGCTTTTCCCCTATTAGGAGGAGAGTTTTCGTAGTAGCGTTTACGCACATAGTCTGCAATATTTCGTTTTTTGATTGACATCGAGCCGTAAACGGCTAACCCGAAGGGGATCTAAGTCATACCCGTTGGAATTTCTGTTTTTTTTTTNTTTTTTTTCCTGAAAATCTGTTCTACTGTGGCTCAACGATATCCCAAAACACCTGAACACAGAGGAGACATCAAGTGCAATGTGGGCTTATTGGCTACATTTGAGCGGATCTCAGTTGAAGTCGATTTCTTCGAGTTTCTTTGAACCCCTTTTTTTTCAAGGATGTTGTCTTCCCGGATTGCCAGGACCTGACGGCCCACCAGGAAAGAATGGTATGCCAGGAAGACCGGGAGCTCCGGGTGCACCTGGATTCCCCGGAAGACCACCAGCGTACGTTCTGTTCGAATTTTCCTCGAATGTATTTGCAGCTGCTATTTGATGCAGTTGATCTACATTTTCAAACTTTCAGAAGTGAATTTCTCCTTTTTGTCATGTATAGGTTCGTACTTACTTTTTTGATGGAATTTTTAAAGAGTTTGCGAGGAAGTGACGGCGCCCCCATGCAATCCATGTCCTCCTGGAGAACCAGGACCTCCCGGACCACCTGGTGATGCTGGTAAGCAATTCCCACAAATTCTTTTCCCAAAGAGTCACTGAAAAAGCTCAAATCAATTCACCGAATGGAGCGTTCGGGAGTAAATTAGGTGTTTAGCCCTAATATAAAGAGCATTTCCCAACAAGCGCTTTTTAGGTAGCCCAGGCCAGCCTGGACATCCTGGACGCAATGGAAACGACGGATCACCTGGACCACAAGGTTTGTCTTTCCGGGAACAGCGTTGGATAGATCGGCCAGGACAATTTTTTTAGGACCACCTGGCCCACCTGGACCACCTGGAGAAAATGGAAGAGACGGAGCACGAGGAGAGCCTGGACGCCCTGCCTTCAGGTGACTTGCAAGTGATCTTTGTTACCATTTCTTCCTCTTTGCAACTTTAATTTTAGCACTCCTGCAATCCCTGGAGACCCTGGAACACCAGGAGAACCTGGACCACCTGGACTTCCTGGAGATGCTGGACAAAGCGGTTCGTTCTATCATTGGATGTTGTGATGTTAGGAAAACTGAAAGTGCAAATCGCCGAGTGTTTGATTGAGCTGATTATGTCTAGGTCGACCTGGATCTGACGGACTTACCGGTCCACAGGGCCCTCCAGGCCCACCAGGACCTCAAGGGCCACCTGGAGAAATGGGACCTGCCGGACAAGCTGGACAACCTGGACCGCAAGGAGAACGAGGTTTCTTTTTATCGAGGTCGTTTAGGTGCTGTCCACATGAAATTACCCACAATTTCAGGTATCTGCCCCAAATATTGTGCATTGGACGGAGGTGTGTTCTTCGAGGATGGTACACGAAGATAATTTTAGTAACAGCGGTGCTAATCGACTTAATCCGCCGCCAAATTTTTGCTCTCGTGTCTTTCTTCGGATATTTCTTGCGAATCGTTTTTATCGTTCATTCTTGTGTGTGTTGGTATCTGTGCCCTGATCCTAGGGCTATGGTTTCCACATTCGTCAGGGTTTTCAACCAGCCCCTTATTTCCCCACTCATTGAGCAGCTTTTTTTCTCTGCCCCACTATGCCGCATTTGAAACGTTGTTCTGTCCATATGGGCTTTTTCAGAGGGTACAATCCCTCTCATCCGACGTGTCCTGGAAAATTCGTAAACGGAAATGGCATGAAGTTGTGTTCCGTACTCCCAGTGTAATAATTGTGTGTACTTAGTTTGTATATTTGTAAAGGTATATAATAAAAATATAGAATACAATTTTCTGATTTGTGTTAGCAGTGTTTACACCGTGGCTATGCCCATATCCTGTATCAAAAAGTAATCAAAAAACAAACAAAATTGCCCAGCAATTGTGAGGAACACGGGCTTCTGTCTCCGGTGAGCCATGCTTCCTTTAACACTTCAGAATGTGTTTTTTAATAACCAGCAAACCACAAAGGTGGTAAAAATCTACCTGGGAGGGTACCTACTTCTTTTAAATACATCAGCACTCAAGAAATCTTCTATTTGCAAAGTTCCTCTTGCCTATTAGAGCTCAGGAGAAAGAGACCGAAAAATGAATTATGCTCCCTCCCTGGGATACGCCACCCGTTCGACCTTTGTTCAAAATTGTAGAAAAACATCGATGTGATTGTGATATGCAACGCCCCGAGTCCTGTTTTGGCCAGTGCATCCGTCTTCCTCAACATGGATGAAACACGAACCCCCGGGCATGGGAAGCATGGTAGATAGAATTGGTTTCACTGCTGGGGCAGAAGAAAAAATTCTTTCCACTTTTTTTGCAATTTTACTATCGGCGTCCTTTGAAGGACATTCTACCCGGAAGGCCACCGTTTTCGCAAAGGCTACACAATTTAGTCGCTTTTTACGATCTTCAAGTCATTAAAGTCATGCCAAAAAAACTCCAAAAATGGCTGTTCACTTAGGGAGAATGATTGCTTCTTGTATACCGGCACCACTCTGTACTGTATTGAACGGAACAATTCTTATTGAGGTGGAGCTGCTCCTGAATACCTGCTTAGCCTTAAAAATGAAGTACCACCAGCCTCAGCTGGAATGATTTTTCAAGCCTTCAAATATTGAAATTTTTGTCAGGCTGACGCCTCGGCTTTTTTGACTTGGTCGGAGCCTTCAACTCCGCCGCTACGAAAGTCGGGGGAGACCCGTTCGAAGGTAGTCATACTCCTTTCTCAGCGGCGGAGCTTAAGACTCTGACGAATGCAGGGAAGACGAAACGTGGGCTTACAAAAGTTCAATCTTAAAAGGCTTGAAGATGCATTTCTATTGAACTGATCATGCCAAGATTGCAGGAACGTTAAACATGGACTAGCACCAGCCTTTTCTGGTTCTTGGGCAACACCTATATATTTTCTTGTTTCGTCTTTAGAAAATTCAATTCTGTGGAGTAAGTACGGGAAGCCGAGCAGATCATCACTCCATTTCTTCACACAGAGGGATTCTACTTTACCTTTTAAAAACTCAGCAATCGTCGCTGACGATCCACGTGGAATTCTTGGTGTACGTAAACCTGTTTTCTCATAACTTCTGAAGTTAGAAATAAGGGAAAGATTCAATTTTCTTTAACGACATCAGCACTGGAAAAACTTTGTACTTACAAGGTTTATTTTGCATAGAAATGAATCGAATTTGTCGTGGACAAGTTTCTTAAAGTTCCAAAGGGAGAAACATATCATGAAGAAGTGGAACAAATGTGACTTTTTCGGTTGGAATTTATGTGGTAAACCAATTTATCGCCTAAAGTGAACGATTCCATCAGGGGGAACAAGATGGCTCCCTCAGCCTAATGAATCGTTTTTGTCGACGTGGAATGCTCCATAACAAGAAGGGTGGTATTGAATTGAAAAAAATTAAGCGATCAAGGAACAAAAGTTTCGTCAAGAAACCTGTTCCTCCTACAAATTTCCTACTGGTCTAGTAGTCAGTGTGAGCACTGTAGGACCAACAGGCCGGCAGTTTTCTTGATTGGAAAAAAAATCGAGTAGGTCCACCGTAGAAAAAAAATTAATATCTCGTTGTAGCCCTCATATTTTACTTGTTCCCAATTCTAGAAGTAATGGTAGGACAACTCGATTCCGGAAAAAAGGCTAAGAGGCATCTGCACGAATACTGAATACTTCTGCACGTTCCACCATCACTCGTTTCGGCCATTATTTATCCTATTTGGGCGGAGGTGTAGTGACATGTGGCGCACTATTTCACACCCACGGTCAGACGTTCGAATCCGGGATCGATATCCGCTTAGTCCAACCAAGCCTTCCATTCCTCCAGGATCAGTTAATTGATACCAAACTCGTCTGGGAGGATAAAAGCACTGACTTGTACATCGGCTGACCACCACAAGTCATTGTATAAGCCACATACGCACTCATCACGCCACTGCGATTCTGAATGGAAATCGAGTGGGGGGCGCATCCCTCAGACGGGATTGATTGCGGGAGGGATTATTTGACGCCCCTAGACTTTATCTTTTAGACTTTATTTATCCTATTTATTTAATCATTTAACTCAGGTATGCTGCTACAAACACTTTGAATCTAAGGCACCTCATTTGTCACTCACGTAAGTAGGCCTTCAGCCCAGCCATTTTGAGGAACACCTCCTGCACCTAGAATCGGCTTTCGTTCGGAAGCATAACGACGTTTTAAACGCCTGTGGGCCCTATGTTATTTATTGTGATGGCTATCCTATGAACAACTCGTTGCTTTTGTACTCCCAGATGAGTCTGATACCAGTCCACCAAACCTTCGGCATGGAAGGCTCGGTTGACCTGAGCAAGCATCAAGCCGAGACGCGAACTCTGGACCACGCGTTTATGATAGTTAGACGCTTGTCACCACATCATCTGGCAGTTAGGTTAATAAGGCAGAATTGAAATAAAACCAGAGCAATAAAGGACACCTCTAGCCTTAGATAAAGAAGATAGGCGTCCCTATCCCTTAAAACATTGATAGGATCAGTTTTTATTATCGAGAAAGCCACTACAGGTAAGATCTTCACCGATGGTGAATCGTCCCTGGGTGTTCCTGACCACAATTGAGGTGCAAACCGAACCTTAATGAAAAACTTCCCACGTCAACAATTCTTCCAATTAAAATCAAATTAGAAAATTCTTATCTGGTTTTGTTTATTGAATCTGACACCCACATCTGATCGTAAATGCGTCTCTACCCACAATAGACAAACCAAAATTTTGCAAAGGAAACCTTCACGCATTTTTTTAGGCTCCACTTGAGCGGATATAGACCTAAGACATGTACTGTTCACAATGTTTGCCCCATTGTAGACGGTGGTGTTTCAAAAGTTTTGCTATAAGCTTCTGGATAGAGCGGAGTGGATATGCCTAGCTGTGGAGAACAATCCGGATGGGAAGATGGAAACTGGACGAAAAGGTGCAGGAGTGGTTAAGAATACTTTTTTACGATTCGTAAGACGTGAGAAACGGTTTCATTCTTGGGAAAACTGGCCATTTTCAAAAGAAAACCCACGAAAGAATCCCACCTTATGGGGCTTGTAGCTCACACAAGCCAGTTCCCTCATTGAACCCAACAGGAAATCATTATACAACACATATTGTTGCGGGTTCCTTTGAAGAACAACCTTTACAACCTTTGATGGGATTTCAATCCACAAAACCATGGCCATTTGCCATTTGGCCTGAACATGAAATCCACGAGTAACATCCTATCCAATTACAACAAATAAATTACGGATCCTATCCTGTGATTATCACTTTTTATCAAGGATAATTAAGGAAGAAAGGAGCAATTCTACATGTTCTGGTTTCTAGAGATTTCCAAAAGGGACGGGTGTTTTTCTGAGTAATTATTAGTTGCTGAACTGCAACGACTTTTTCAGTGAATCCCCCTTCTTCTTCATAAGGCGGGTCTTCCCCATATTTAAGATCGAACTTCCTAAATCTCTTTTTCCCCACCTTGGATGCGGCTTCGATTCAGGATCGCAGTGGCGATTCGAACGCGCAGGTGGTCCATACAATGAATCGCGATGACTAGCCTATGTACAAGTCAGTGCTTTTATCCTCCCAGATGAGTCTGGTACTAATTAACCGACTCCGGAGGATCGGAAGGCTTGGTTGGCTTAGGCAGATATCGATCCGCCTACAGTGGCATGGTTCTTTCCACGAATGCCCCCCGGGGTCACACTGGAGGACGATCCCTGGGGCTGCCTACCTTTGCAGAGGAGCAGCTCAGGCACAGCCACAGCGGAACTGAGTTTGATTAGTTTTATTCGTTATTCAGCTTCAGTCTCTCAGAAACCGATTAATCCGTTTGTGTGGGTAGTCTCAAACGCTCAGGACAGATTTTTAGCTGCCTTCCACCCACAGCAAACCAACAACATCATTGTCGTCCAATGTGTGGGCAATGTGTTGTAGGAATGATTGGGAAGACATGAACAGTTCTTATCAAACTTTCTATGGATACGCTTTCCTGACTTTCCAGAGGAACACGTATAAGTTATTAGCAATGCTTAGTTGGTGCTGGGCGTGCTCGATCCACTCATCGTTTGTATAGCAATGATGCCTCCTTACAATGCACCTTCTTTACCCATTTCATATCAATGGAACATAAAATATACTCAAACTTTTGGAAGGCAAAAACACTTCAATATCTCCCCCCAATTTATTTTGATAACAAACTTAAAACTAGATAATTACTCCAGTATAAGGGCGGAGGTGTGAAGTGCCAAATGATGCCTTATCACACGACCACTGTCTGCAAATCAGATTCCGGCTGGGTGTTCACCTCGGCCAATCAAACCTTCTACCCCTCCGGTTAAATGCGCTAGACTTTTTGGGAGGATAAAAACACAGGCT